GTGAGATATATAATTTTTATATATATATATATATATATATATATATATATATATATATATATATATATATATATATATATATATATATATATATAATTTTTTACATTTTTTTATATTTTTGTAGATACAACAGTTTATTCTTTTATTGCACTGATCAAATGAGACCAGAATGTTACTTTTTATCCAAACAAAAAAACAACACCGTACGTCATCCGCACCGTTAAGGTGTTCAGAATAGATCGATAAAAATGCAATCCACACTTTTTAGATTTTTATTTCTAAAAAATGTTTGTCTGTCACATGAAACTGATGCAGTTTTGCCAAGAGGTATTTATATATTAGCAAGGCCCTTTAAGTCTTAGCATCATGACCTTAGCGACAATTTTTTTTCTGTTCCCGCATCACTCCTCTCACATCCTGGCTCATATGAGAGGCCATGTTGCTGGCAGTGTCTGAGTTATGTTTTTAAATGTTCAAGCTGACGTTTTAGAAATGGAAAAATGTGCCTAAATCTAATTATCGCTGTTATTTCTGTCACGTCGGCATTTGTGTCTGGCTCTCTAGTACCTGACCAAGCAGCTGGAGGTCCTTCGGGACATGAACGAGCAACACGCCAAAGTGTACGAGCAGCTGGACGGCACGGCCAGAGAACTGGAGCGCACCAACCACACGCTGGTCAAGGACAGCAAAGCCTCGCAGCAAAAGATCGAGAGGTGTGAAGGACGGAGCGCTCTCCTGACCCGGTTTAATCGTTTGGCCCTCATTCATTCCTTTTTTATTAGCGCTTAAATGTAAAGCAGGGTTTACAGAAAACTTGCTACGCTAGGCCAGTCATCCAATTAAAACAAATAGATAGTTTTGCACTTCAGTTGTTTCATCCTAATTAAAGTGTCCAATAATGATTTCATTTCAATGGTGATTAATCACGATTAATCTGATTAATCGTTTCAGCCCTAAGTTGTGTGCCTCTTTTTGTTTTGTCTTCTGCTCCAGCTTAACGGGGACTATTGAGACTCTGCAGAATCAGGTGGAGTCTCTGTCGGCGCAGGTGGAGCAGCTCCGCTCGATGGAGCAGCTCCGAGTCAGGAGGGAGAAGAGGGAGCGACGCAAGACCATCCACTCGTTCCCGTGCCTGCGGGAGCTCTGCACCGCGCCCAGGTGGGCATTTTCTGTTTAATCGATAAAGATAAAGCCCAGAGGGGAAAAAAGAGTAAAACTCCAATGATTTTCCTGCTAGGTATGAGGATGAGTTTGTAGTGGGCCGGGCCGAGAGCTTCACTTTGGAGGCCAAGAGACAGCCGTGTGAGGAGGACAGTCAGCACCTGAGGGAAGCGGTGTCGGCGCTGAGAGCCGCCGTCCGGACAGAGCGGGGTCGAAGGGAGGGAGTGGAGAAAGAGTGCAACCTCCTGATCGCAGAGTTTTCTCGGCTGCAGACGCGTGTGCAGGTTAGAGAAGCAAAACGATTTTTTTTTTTTTATCGAGCTGCTTTGCTCCACAAGCTAGCACATCTAGCAAGAAATGTAAACGTGTCTGACGAGAAAAAGACCAAAGAAACGTCTGCTTTTGTTTTGTTTTTTTGCAAGATCTAAGTGGTGAGCTGATTGGGGTTTCTCTTTCTTTCTCTGTCTTTCTCTCTCTCTCTCTCTCTCTCTCTCTGTTTTTTTTTTTTGTTTGTTTGTTTTGCCTCCTGACAGGACGCTGAGAGCTGCCAGGCTCGTGTGCGGGAGCTGGAGGTGGAGCTGCAGGAGCTGCAGCAGCTCCGCCGCGCGCGGACTTTCCTCCTGAGCGGCGAGGACGACGGCGTCGCCCTGACCCAGACCGTCCTCAGCATCACCCCGGAAACCGACACGTTCCTGGAAGCGGAGGACGGCGACGCTGGCGGCGGAGGCGGCGGCGTGCGGGAGGAGGCCGAGGGTGGAGGCGGCGTCGGAGGCGAGCAGCTGCCGGAGTCCAGCCCTGTGAGGAAAAGCTGCAGCGACACGGCGCTCAACGCCATCGTGGCACGGGACGCATCTGGCCGCAGGAGAGGCAGCTACGCCCTCCACGCCAACAGCGTGAGGAAGAGGGGGATGTCCATCCTCAGGGAGGTGGACGAGCAGTACCACGCCCTGCTGGAGAAATACGAGGAGCTGCTAGGCAAGTGCAGGCGGCATGAGGAGAGCCTGTGCCACGCCGGCGTCCAGACTTCCCGTCCCGTCTCCCGCGACCCGTCCATGAAAGACTGCGCCGTGGGCCCCGTCCCGGCACCTCCCCCGACGACCACCCAGTCCCCCTCCACTCCCGAAGCCATGGAGAGCATCAGCAAGCAGGTGGAGGCGGTGGATAAGCGACTGGGGCAGAACACTCCGGAGTACAAGGCTCTTTTTAAGGAGATCTTCTCGCGCATCCAAAAGACCAAAATGGACATCAAAGCTACCAAAGCCGCCAAAACGAGCAAATCAGGAAAATCGGGCAAATCAAGTAAACACTAAAGTCGACGTCGACTGTACAGATGAGGATGTTGGTGCTCTTTGTGAACAAGGGGCTAGCTAGTGTACACAATTTTATAGAGGGCGCTGCTACTACAACTAAAGTATTAATTTCTTCCAGAGCTAAGCTAAGCTAAGCTAACCCCAGCAAGAAATCAACAAATCTGAAGTGCATGCCTTCCACCATAGTTAACCTTCTAGAAAATGAATTGAATCTGTTACATTTTATTCTTCTCCATTGTCTTATTTAATTGAAATTACAGGAAAAAAAAGATTTGTAGGCCAATTTGACTGCCTTACTTACTCTACAATATTACAATTATAATACCACAGTTGGCAAAATGTTTCAGTTTTGCACTTTAGGTTCAGGTTTAAGTAAACTAAGGCAAATTGCCTCTTAGAGGGGTGGAAAGCAAATGTAACATTAACTCAAGCCAAATCTATTTACTACTAAACAAGCTTGACTCATATTTATGTACTTCCTGTAAGAGAGGTTGATCTTACTTACAAAAGCCTATATATGGCAAAATCTTAAAGCATTTAAACCATAATTGTATTTTATTGGGATTTTATGCAACAGACCAAAACAATGTAGTTAATTATTGTGAAAATGATCCAGGTTTTCTTTCTACAGTTTCTAAAGATAAAATCTGACTGCTAATCTGACATCGCTTCAGAGAATCGGCTTCAAGATTCAGATTTTTTATAGTAAATGAAAAAACATTTCTTTTTTTCTTTTTTTTGTCATATGTGTCTTTGTCTTGATCTATCCTACAAAAATCCCAATTAAATGCAGAGACATTTGATGTGGTTGTGTGACCTAATGTGAAACAGATCAAGGGGTGTGAATACTTTTGCGAGTTGGGGTGTTTCAGACCACTGTGCTGCCTGTGTTTTGGCCTGGAGGTGCTCGTCATAACATGCTACGCTAATTCTGTCAGCGCTGCTATAAAAAAAAAAAAAATTAGCTAAGTCTAGATAAGGATGTGATTAGTCTATTTGGTCCTGAGCTTTCTGCAGGCATACCAAGCGACTACATTGACCTGAATAAAAGTGAATCCATTTTCCAAAGCGAACCGGACTTTGGGGTCACTTTTGGGCCAAATCTTACCTGCCTATGTACCTGTGTCTTAACTCCTGCATATATCTCTGTGAAGTGAAGATGAGCTATTTTATGTTTTGTTTCTAAGTTCTTTGAGGGGGGAGTGCCTTCATCCTCTTCAGCTGCTTCATTTTGTTCCCACTTTGACATATAAAACTACATTTGAGTTAACATGAATGAAGGGACTTTTTGGCTACAATATGCAGTTATCATGACATAGGTGTTTTATATTCCACTGTGTCCATGAACTGATCCCTACTCTCTGCACCACGCTCAGGGATAGACGGCTGCAAAACGTTCTCAACTCAATCAGATGCCCCGTTTGCAGTTCTGAGCTCATTTTCGTACCCTCAGTAAATATTTCCAATTGCCTCTGAAATCAGAACTTTGATTCAGGTCAGAATAAGAATTCAGTTCATGAAAAACGTCCCACCTGATGTACTTCAGTTCCAGTTCCTAGCTAGAAAACAAGTTGGGCTTGTTAGTTTTTGAGCTCCATGTCCAGGATACTTACTATAATATTGATGACGATGATAATTCTTATTGGTAGGCGTTAATTGCAATATACTTATAGCGTTTTGCAAATTGAAATGCTAAAGAAATATGTACAGTACTGTATGTGCACAAAGTTAAAAGAGATCCGAATCATTAAAGCGCAGAAGGCGGTTTGGGGCTTCAATTTACTCTGTGTTTATACCTGTGGCAGCCATTTTGGATTTTCAGGTCAGTATTGGTGGGATATCTCCCACTTACCAAGTGTAAGCTTCACACAGCATTCCAGTTAATCTAGATGAATCAGAGACAAGATGGTTTTACCTTTTGATAACGATTACAAGCTAAAGTTAACCTAGCTTGTTTTTATGTTAGCGGTAGCTAAACGGATTCGTAAAGTTAATTTCCTACCATTCTGAGCAAAGGTGAGTTCTAACATCCGTATCACATTAATGATCACTATAATGTGGTATAATTCATTAAAACTTATGTATTGAGCTCTCTCTCTATTTTATTTTGACAGCTGACAGATTACAATGATGTTCATCTATAACCAATCTTCCCAAATGTCTCTTCTTTGCTTCCAACATTAGCATGCTACTTCATAGGATCCTCACACAATAATAGGAATGCTAATGGAAAATGCGTTTAGCTTTACTGATGTAATTTTTTTTTTGTTTTAGCTAACATTTGTTCAAGTCTTTTTAAAGGCTTCTTTCACAAGCCACAGGAAATTGAACAAAGATCAAGTTCTGACAGCGTCTTATGCTGCATTCAGTTAAATTGTCTAGTCAGAAGTTGGATCTTTGAACCGAGTTTAACTGTGATCCAGTTCCAAATTGGAAAAAATGGTGAGAATGACTGGCTGGGATGCTTAGTGACCATGCTAACTGCTGTTAGCAATAGAAGCTAATAGTTATGTTCTTCACCGCATTTTGGACTTTCTGGATTTATTTGTGTTAGCTAAAGGTATAATGGGACACTTTTGGTCAAAAGAGCAAGTAAAGAGTTGTTTTTTTTTCAATTGAGAGCAGCCATGTTTGGATTTTTAAGGTCACAGTTGGTGAGACTGTTTTTTTTTTATCCCCTTGGATAATTCTTACTTCTATGGAGCTCTGTTCTATTTTTTTACAGCTTCAAATTTATAAAATGTAATTTCTCAGAATAAATGTCACACCTAACTGAAGTACATACTTAAAACAAACACACAGTGCTTAGAAATATATATATATATTTAAATAAACTGAAAAGGCATAGGCTTGTTGAACAACACTTAAAATGTCTGTCAAACATGGTGGTGCTTGGGAAAACTTGGGTTTTTATTATAAATTCTAAGTAAAGTTCTTTCACAGTCTGCAAAATTTTGGAAACGGTTAGGGTATGGGACTTTTTTTTTTTTTTTTACTATTTTCCAGGTCTGAAATGGCATGGGTAAAACAGTATCAAAAAATGTTTGATTTTGCAGGTATCATTATTTTCCCCAAAAAGAAAAATAATAATAGATTCTTTATCCAAACTGGTTGCTCTTGGCGATGACTCCATCCTGTCTCAGTGAGATATACTTCTATAAATAAAGGTAAAAAGAAAATAGTGAAGTAAACAATCTGTCTTTGATTTGCCACATCACATTGACATTTCAGCGTTTTATCAACCTTCTCACTGAATATGCACGCTATTTCACTCACTGGTTTTTTGGCAAATTTGAATTCAGGTTGAACTGGGCCTTGTGTCTTTCAATTAGATCATATTAAATGCCAAGCAAAGTTATAAAAGTGCTATTTTGGGACTTTATTTCCAAGTGAAATTGTTTATCTAATTTACATGCGTTATATGATATTTCTGTCTTATGGCAAATAGAAGAAGAAAAGATTTTGAAATAAATCTGGTCTCTGAAACAGAAAATCAAAAGTTGTTTCACCGATTAAGTCTATTTTAAGCCGTTTTAAGCTGAATATTTTTGTTCTCAAATGTCCAGAATGTTATAACAGAAAAACAAATCTAGACAAAGAGTTTAGGATAATCTGTAATTGTAAAATAAAAATGTTTTGGGGAGGGGGGGAGGAACAAAAAAAAAAGAGTAATCTTGCATGAACTGGCATTACAAGGCTTTTTCTCACTGCTACAAACTCTGTCACATTACACTACTAATGTAGAACCATGTAAAATCTGACTAAATTAGATGGAAAGTTGAATGTTGAGCTACAGTTTGCGCTTCTTTAAAGTTCCTCAATGCTACCTGCTGGCTGTACTGTACAGTAAACTCTCGTGTTTAGTGTATAAACCGTGCATTTGAAAATGCTCTTGAGTGTTTGGGAGGAATGCGCTGATGGTCTCTAATTGTGTAGAAATAGTCTAAATACTGAATATGTTTTTTACAGGAACGTGTGTAGGCACAGGCAGTTGTTGGAGTCAATGCTACAAGTCACTTCCCAGTTGTTTGTGGACAATGACAAAGGTTGGTGGGGGATGGCAGATTGCGCGTGACAAACACTCTACATGTAGAATCTCTGGAGATATTCTGTAGAGATTTTTTTTTTATATAACAAAAGTATCAGAGAGGTTTTTCTTCAATTTACTCTTGACAGACACACTGTGTAGCTGATGTATAACAAGTTAAAAAGGCTTCAAACCAGGGTTCTATCTTAACACCCAGCAGTCTTACCAAACTCTTATTAACCTGCAACACATTGCACCTCTTGCGCAATCTGCAATGCCTTTTTTTCTGGTAACCTTCTATATATACACAGCTTTGTTATAATGAATGTTGTTCTAACTAACATTTTTGTGTCCAACTCCTCACCTACACTGTCAACATAACCATGCCTGAAACTTTTCTAGATGTCATATGTGACTCACTGGTCTGTAAGAGTTTAAGACAGACTGGCGGCTGGGTAATTATTAAGATTAGTTTACAGTCGAAATAGGAGTTTAATGATACAGTGTTGTGTATTTTAGCATAATCAGAACTAAATATAATTAAAACATGCTAAACCAGGGCTTATGGCCCTGTGGAGTTTTACTCTGTACTGTACTTGAACGCAACACCATTTGTCTGACAATTTCGTTCATATATATATATATATATATATATA